GATGCCAGATGGCATGTGCAGTGTGAATTTCTTCACAAATGCTTTTATTATAAGTACAAAGGAAAGGCGGGCGACACTTTTCATTCTTCTGGTTCATCTCATTTCCAGTGGTTCAGTGGTACTGCTACGTTTCGTTGAGTTCGGCAGTAATGCCATTCTTCCTGTTATTGTCCGCGAAGGGGGTGGGAGTGGTGAGGAAGAGGAAGACGACGAACGCGAGCCCGAAGCTGTGCGAGCCCGAAGCTGTGTGGAGGTTTGCTGAAGCATTGGCAAAAGTGAAGTCCTACTTTTATGCGCATAATATTAGTGAACGTGACGAGGAAAACATTTTGAACGTGGAAAGAGCTCTGTTTGGCCCAAAACGTAAAGTTTCGACAAACCAGTTGTACATTAAAGACATTTTTGGTAAAAAGAAGTAACTTTGAAAGAGAAACATTTTTTTAAAAATTCTTAATGCTTTCCCGCAACTGTCGTTTTCCCGTATTCATCGCTTTTATTTTCCACCCCTGCCAAAAACGATGCATCGAGGTTTCACTTTATTACATACATCGCAGGCCTATAGACTCTTGTCATTATGTATGCCTAGATGTCTCTTCAGATTACCCCTCTGTCTGAATGATTTATTGCACACATCACAGCAATATTGGTGCTCACCAGTATGTATAAGTTGATGTCTCTTCAGAGTACTCATCAGACTGAATGATTTATTGCACACATCACAGCAATATTGGTGCTCACCAGTATGTATAAGTTGATGTCTCTTCAGAGTACTCATCAGACTGAATGATTTATTGCACACATCACAGCAATATTGGTGCTCACCAGTATGTATAAGTTGATGTCTCTTCAGAGTACTCATCAGACTGAATGATTTATTGCACACATCACAGCAATATTGGTGCTCACCAGTATGTATAAGTTGATGTCTCTTCAGAGTACAGCTCTGACTGAATGATTTATCACACATATCACAGGCATGTCGACATCCTCCTGTGTGTATGCTTTGATAGTTCTTGACAGTATTCTGACCGGGTGCATTATTGCACATATCAAAGTTATATGGATGATCCTCTCCATGAATTAGTTGATGTTCATTCAATGGACTCTGTTAAAAAAAAGAAAAAAAAGTTACTTGTGGGTTACCGGGACACATCACTTTAAAAATAGGTTAGGTTAGGTTAATGTGTGTGGATAAATGACATATACTTGAAAGTTATTATATTTTATTTCAATAAATGACAAATTATTATATTCTATTAGGATATGCACGAGATGCTAATTGTTGTTACAACCTGTCGCCAGAGGCCAAAATTCGCTTATCGATTTTAGAATCATTTTAAAAATATCGCCATTATCATTTGTACGCCGCCACATGAACTCAGCTAAATATGAATCCAGATGATGTCGGGCCATGCCTGTCTTATTTTTATTCCGCCATTTAGCTGATCCCCATAGCCTCTCTATCGTTTGGGTGTGTGCACCGGATTCCGGATCAACAAAGTTGTATCAATGGTTAAACTTCAAGTGGTTGAAACCTAAGTCCAGATATTCGACTCTCCCGTTTTGTGTCCCGATAACCAACAAGTACCAGAAGAAATATTACGATAAACAAAATGGAAGGAAAGAAATAAGTTGAAAGTAAGGGGTAAAATGTCAATCAGTATTACATAATACCAGTCTCATTGCACGACCATAATTTATTTCAAGGTCTGCTATATATAATCCAAAAAGCATCTGCCCTCCTCAAAAACAGGTTTAAAACAGCTCATTCAGTATGCGATGTGACGACAGCCTGCAGCATTTGAACCCAAACCCGAGTCTCAAAATTCAGATTATACTGAAGCCTTGAATGTTAGTCACTCAGGTCATTTAGTTCTTACCCAGTAGTAGGTCTGCATCTGAACTTGTTGGTGAACATATTTTTTTACTCATTGTGATAGCAAGTTGTTATAAATGTGCTACTTCATTTAGATTCTGGCTAGTTGTACAAAGCTAATTTTCTAGTCTGGCCTGGAGTTTGACACACATCAACTGGACCGTTTAATAATATGTGGATATTTATTAGGTTCAAGGGTGTTATGTCTTGGAAGCAAAGAATAGCATAAAATCTCTCAATCTCATTCCATAACTTCCAAACTCGACCAAGACATGCACGTTCTTAGAAAAACTCCTGAAAATTCATTACACTATACTCACCTCGCATTCAGCCTTTACTGTTGGAAACGTTATTTGCACAGGATCCTCTTCCACTTTTATATCTGTCTCAACTTCATCTTTTACTTTGATGAGCCGACTTCCATCATGAGGAGAAATTAGACATGTTTTGCTATATGAATCTGGTATTACTTCCTGTAAAACCGCCATCACGCATATTAAGTATCTAAATTTTATCACAAGGAAATGTTTGGGTACTTGGAAAAACCATTAAAGAATGAAAGTTCATAATGTAATGATAACCAGAATATACACATTAGATACACGCAAAATACGGGAATTTGTTATTCACCGCTTTGTAAAATGAGAAGCTAATAGTTGCTTAGTTGACCAAGAAATCACCTTGATGATGGAGCAAGTAAGCAGCTGTGAAACATCAGTCACTTTTTCTAGTTTATATGGCACAGCAGCCCAGAGAAAGGTCATATTGGTTTCAGAAACTGAGTGGGAAGAATAAATGTTTCCGAACTGAATGGCAGCAAGTATTCCTCAAATTGAATCTTCTCGTCATTCCTCAGAAAAGAAACACGTGCCAACCTGAGCCCCTGCCCATCACAGCCCATGCGTCTATGTATGCACACACACATGAATAACATTCACAAAAAATTGCCTGGGGGGAAAAAAAGCTTACCCTGGGTTCAGCCTTTGTTATGGAAAATGCTGATGGTACGTGAACCTTATCAGTTTGCAGGCCAGTGGAATGCTCTTCACTCAAAACATCCACTCTATTTTCTACTGAGATTCCATTGACATTCTGCAATAAAAATGTAAATTACACATAATTCATTCAGATGATACAGTTCTTATAAATTAAATTCATGTGCAGAAAGGGGACAGTATGCAGAATAGCAGATTCCACATTCGAACTGATATCATAAATGCAGGGATTCAGAAAAGGAATAGGGGTTGTCCTCAAACTGACACAATATTTTCAGGATAAAATGCTATCTCACAAGTCTTTTTCACAACAAAGCTACTGAGACATGAGAATCTGTGGCTATATTGTATGCTGCAAGAAAATAAATTAACCTTGTTTGCTGAAGCAGGGACTTTACAAGTAACCTACAGCTATAATGCCAAGATCTTTTGTTAAATCTTATGTGGTACCGCCTGATTCGACTTCTAATGGTTAAGTCAAGTGTTTTCTTCGCGGTACGGTCTGGATTCGTAAATATTATGAAGACGAGCTTCGACTTCAAAGGGTTAACCAGCTGATTTTCGTAATGGTGAGGTGTAGTGTTTTCTTCACGGTACGGACTGAATTCATAAATAATATTCAGATGATCTTCGGCTTCAAAGGGTTAAGCAAGTACCCCACATTAAGTCCAGATGTATACAGCGGTTTTATTCTGTAGTTACATTTTTAAAGTTTTTTGGTTGGTTGGTGAAGCACATCCATTTATTCAATGGCTCATTCAAAATATCTACTCTAATCGGACTCATATTACTGTCTTCCTCTATCACCTAGCAAGGGCAAGATAATGGATATATACACACTATTCAATCTAGGCTATGCATATGATCCCGTACTGACGATTTGGTGACTGCAGGAGCATAAGATCAAAATTACTAAGCTGAAAAAAAAGGGTGTTTCTTTATACCTGCTGCATGCAAATGAAAGCTTTGCACACACTCAACACTGGATGTCATATGAAGACAGACTTATACTGTAAGAATGCAAGCACATACATGCATGTAAGCATATATCCAAATGAGAAACATACAAATTGGCTGAAAACGTTTACCTTGGATTCAGTCTTCAGTGTGGGAGGTGATGATGGTACGTAATACTCATCAGGTATCATGACAGTGGAATCATCTTCATCAAGAACATCATCGTCTTCTGTCTTAATTATATCAACATTCTGCAGTAAAATTATCAATTAAACGTAATTATTTCAGATAATACAATTCACATGCTCTAAAGACATGCAGCAAAGAGACTGTCTGTACAACAGCTGATTCCTCGCTGCAATTTTTAAGATCATGTTATATGCAAGGCTTCACAAATATAATAGAGAATGCCCTCAAACTAACATCAAGTCTTTTCAGGTTAAATTCTATCTCGGTATTATTTCTCATATTAAAAATTCCGGAACATGAGAAATTTTGGCATTATTGTGCGCTACAAGAAACCTCTCTAACCGTGTTGCTGGAGCAAGAAATTAAAAAGATCTTACTGCAGTAAAGGCAAAGTACATAGTCGGTTATAAAAGTAACCCACATATACAGCTCTTTAAGAGTTACATTTCTTAAGTAAGCTTTATGGTTGGCCAACTAAACATTTTATATAAGATACTAATTCGTTTCAACTGGACACAGTTAAAAGTAGTTTTGTCCTGTTCTGAATAATTGAGAAATGTGACAAATTCTACTTAATAATTACAATATGGAATTTCTTAATGTTCCTATGAGTTAGTTACGCCTATTGTAATGGAAGAACTTATTAAGCTATGATTATGTGAACATAATCAGAGTGACACATGCATGAGGTGAAAGTTATAAGGACTTACTCAATCTCACTGTAATAAATTACTTGAAAATCACAATATGAATACACTAAACCCTTCTAATGTATAAATATTCCTGTAGACTGAAAGAGACAGAAATTAAAAAATAACACATTCTTCTCACAAAATAATTAGCTTTCTTCTCATGTAAATTCAGTGAGTGAGTGAGTTAGTTCTCACAGCAACGAGTATTTACTCGGCTGTAGTGCCATCCAGTCCGGAAGAAGTTTACTAATGTTTCAGAGATACCTGCTGCCTCTATCATCATTGTCCTGTTAATGGATGCAGCAAGTCCTCTGAAATGTCAGTACACTTCTACCAGACTGCATGGCACTACAGCGCAGAAGACAGTTCAGTGAATAAGTTGATCGATTACATTAATTTTCATAAATACACACTTACCAAGAATTTCTTCAGAGATGGAATTGTTTCACATCTCTGCAGTATAATTTTCGGTACTCTTGTTTTGTGGAAGTCTGAAACTGGTTCATCACACATCATGGTTGTGGGTTGCAAGTAACCTACAGATAAATTCATAGTTACGTTAATTGTATCCAACCTGAAATATCTCTCCAGGTTCTGAAAGGAAACATACTGATTACAGGAGGTGTTTAATGACACAAATTTTAATGGTAAAATGGATTTATTTCTAATAGGCATTCACCCTTCATTCAGACATACTGCAACTTCAATAACTTGACCCTACACCATCACTTATCAGACTTCTTTAATAATACAACTGACTGACATGTCTAATTGACGGGGGAAAAAAGACAATTTATTAAAATATGTGACATATCAGAAAGATCATGCCTGGAAAGGAATGCTGAAAAGTTTACAAAATCACACTAAGAAGTGACAGAAAATATGATCTACAGCGACCAAACTGCAGAATAAAAAGACTAGTAACATCACACACTCCAAAGGCACTTGCTCCTGACATTTTCGTGTCAAAACGTGGAAACAGCAAAAGAGACATTTCAGTTATTTGAAGGCTGTGCTAATGCACGTGCAGAAGTGGAGAAGTACGAAAGAACAATATGACTTCTTATCTTCTGAAAATTTGTCAATCTAGAGAGAACAGGAAAAACTAAAGAAACAATACACTTCATTATAAAGCAGTAACATAATTATATAGTATTAAAAGCTATTAACATTTTCCACCTTCTAGAATAATGTCCATGATATTAAAACTGACATACCTTCATCACAAACATTCATAAATAAAGTAATGTCTTAATTTTCTGGATGTTGCTGATCAAAAATACCCCTCTAATAACACTTTTCACAGTTATATTACCCTGATGCATGCCAATTATCTCTTCCTTTCAAATTTTATAACTACAATATTCTGTGCATATCTGTTCTCCCCTATCTGTGATACATGACCCTGAAATGATTAACACAGTAACATTTGATGAGCTGAATAAAAGTACGTAACAGACAATGAATAATATCCAAATAAAATATAATAATAATATAAAGTTCTACATTATGCAATTTGCTCCACCCTCATATTACCATCTGACGCGTGCCAATTTTTTCCTCATGAGTTTGTTCTCAAACACTCTGAAACTATATATATATATATATATATAACATTTGAGGTTTTCACAGTAGTGAAAATGTCATCAAGAACGTTTTTGATCATCTGTACCACTACACAGCATCCTAACCTAAAAAACCAAGTCAACACTATGATTCCAATTTTTTCCCTTAGGGTGAGAGTCAAAGACACATTCATATAAAACAAGACAAATAACAGTATTTATACTTTAACCCTTATGATTTTACACACACACAACAGAAAGATTAAACATTCTTAACTACGTTGTAGAAAGCTAAAACTTAACACAAGAGTTTACATGTTACAATACACCAGCTCAATCAGATGACAAATTACAAATGATGCAAACAAAACACATATTTGCAAATATATATAAAAACTCCATCACAAATGGCAACATACAAACAGTAAAGTTACACCAAATCATAGTCGTAACACAAGACAAACAGAATTTATTTATATTCCATAGATCCTTCATAGGCCTAAGCTGGGGATGGAGAACATGTTATAGCACAAATACAATACTTTTTTCTAATACATATATAAATCACATAGTGATGACAGTGATATCACTTAAATGTCAGTTGTGACACCTGTAGTTTTGTAAGTGGTTGCCAAGGTTAAGGTTGATCGCATCGCCTTCGTGTCCACGACAACGCAAATTTTAATCTCTTGCTATCCCTCAAAAACGTCTAAATTGTAAAAAGTATGCCTTCAAAACCTAACAATCGCTTGGCTAGCCAAAAAAGAAACTCTTTTACAGAACCCAAATGTCCATCACAGAGTTAACAACAGCCCACCTATCATCAACCACACGATTCAGGTCCATACCATCACACCTTATTTCCAAAAGTTCCATTTTAATATTATCCATCCACCTACTCCTACATCATGTAAATTTTATTTTCCCTTCAGGATTTCCGACTACATTTCTGCATGCGATCTACATGTGCCGTCCATCACCTCCTCCTTCATCCTCCTGTAAGTAAATATTTTAAAAATATTTTGTCTGACACGCCACTAAAATAAATACATCAATTTTGCAGGGTATTAACTAACGTTTAAGGCCGGCCATTCACGATCGCTCCATTCGTCCAAATGGCTCGGTGTCGCTCCAAAATTGTACCGTGAATGCGGAAACTGAAGTCCATTGGCGTGGCGCGGTGGGCTCGTTTGGATATTCTGTCGAGCCATAATCCATCCGATCGCTCCATCACTCCATCGCGCCATCGTATCGTGAGTGGCGGAAATTTTTTTTAATGGCGCGGTGTCGCTCCAAAATTGTACTGTGAATGCGGAAACTCAAGTCCATTGGCGTGGCGCGGTGGGCTCGTTTGGATATTCTGTCGAGCCATAATCCATCCGATCGCTCCATCACTCCATCGCGCCATCGTATCGTGAGTGGCGGAAACGTGGTCCATTCTCATGCCAGTCTGCCACGAGCCTTCGTCCAGTCAAGTCGAAAGTTGCATAATGTCGGGGCGTGATTTCGTTATTGATAAATATAGAGAGTTGCCATGTATTTTACAAATAAGTTAAAATATATTATGAGACATGTTTCGCCTCTTAAGTGGCATCATCAGTCATGTGATTCACGAACTAATTGAAACTAATTAAATGTAAAAAAATAATTACATTTAGAAACTAATTAAATTTTAACAAATATAGTAATAATCCTGACCTTACCTTAAGGTATCCTTTCAAACACTGCAGTATTGCCCTGCAAGTCTCGGGGATAATTACTCCTAAACGTTGTGGAGAAGTAGCTGTCACATACTTCAGTTCTTCATAGTTCATGCCTGAAGCCAAAAATCTCAAAGTCGCTGACAATCTTTCATGAGGACTGATGCATTGTCTCATATTCGTGTCCTGTTTTTGTATCACAGGCGTGACTAGCCCCAATAAGCGGAAATAAGCACACTCATCCATTCGTAAATAGTTTCTCCAGTCTGACGGCTCCAAACTCAGTTCACTAATTAAATTGACGTGACTTAAATTGCTTCTGTTTAAGAGCCATTGCTTTGACCACTTTCGTTTTGGTTTCCTCCTTTTAATATACAGGCATACTGCCGTAGCTAGTAACAATTCTTCGTCCATCGCAAACACCACGCACTTCACAGAGTGACAACAAACCGCGACTGGCGTGACGCGACCGTGAATGTAGTACCTCTTTGGACGACATCCGTTTGGACGTCATCCATTCGGATGTCATCCATCTGGAGCGATCGTGAATGGCGGCCTTAACACTTACGCCTCCTCTACGAGTATCAAATGGCGCGCGACTCCATACGCTTCAATAATACTTCAGGTCCTAACAAAACTGGTTTACTATGGACGCATTTATTGCGTAATGTCATTGAATTAAAGTATTTCCCGTTCTTAAAATATCCTTTAAAGACTATAAGAATGAGCGTCTTGCATTTGATTCATTAAAACGATAGATAAAAGTGTACACGATCTATATTAGATACAGGCCTACTAGACGTTTCGGACAGAATTAGACGCCTTTCCAAAACACATTTAGTTGTACAATCTAGAAAACATTCGTAAAAAATTATCGATTTCTCAGTCTGTATGTACATTTTTTAACTCGAGTTCCGAGATCAGTTACCACATAATGCAGTACTATTTTTGTGACAAATTTTAAAAGCGTTGCTAATACTTTAAATAGGCGGAAGGCTAATAACTGCCCACCATGCTACGAAACGTTACGGGCAGCCGTGTTTGAGAAATGATTCATCTACAGCTAATTCCAACACGTAGATTTATGGACCTCTTTTACACATTTAACCAAGAAGTACGAACTATGAAAATAATCGTAACCAGAACGAAATGAATGCTGTACAGTCAAGACAGTAAAGGCGCGTTCTCACGAATCAAGTTAAATTGACCGATTATACTTGATCAACAAAAGTTGAATATGACTTGAATCAGTTTTTGTTCACACATTTCAATAGAAACTGATCAACAGTTTCAGTTAAAAATGGCGTCGAAAGCAGTTGTGCGTGAAGTTGTACGGATAATAACTGTTTTGTTAAAAGAAGAACTAAAAACAATTTTATTTAACATGAGCAAAAATCGTAAGAAACATCGTTTTTGGGTGAGGCAATGGATATTAAGAAGAAATCGATTCCTCTGTTCCCATTCCATTTTTTTTGATTTGCAAACCAATGAATGTTCTTTTTTATACATCGTTCTAATCGTCTTAATTTTGTTCTTCAGACCAGCAATTTCCATTTCTTTGACAATAGAACCCAAAGCATTTTCACTTGCATCTTTATTTTTATGTTTATCCAGTCGGTGGTTCCAAAGACAATCATGCTTATGATAAAGTTCTAAGAATTTTAGCATCACACTTTCAGACCACTTGGGGCTCATTTTTCAAACTAAAAAGACAACACAAAAAACTAAAAACAAAACACATGCACGAGTGGCGTGACCAGTTGAAAGCGAACTTGACAATCAACTGAAGTTCACACGTTTCAAGACAGGATTCAACTTGAAAGCAAATGGCGGATGACTCATCACTTGAACGATAAAGTTTGACTGGGTCAAACTTTTCTTGATCCACTAAAAAGTTGAACAACTCTATTGAAACAAAGGTTCTCACTACAGATTTCATTCAACTTTTGTTGATCAACTATAATCGGTCCATTAAACTTGATTCGTGAGAACGGGCCTTAAGAAACACTTGTATGTAATAACCTACCTTATTAGCTGATACAGCTGCAGGTCTTCTACCAAGCGCGCTGAGTGATCTTTAAAAATTAAAAAAAACTAAAACATACGAGTCTCGATATATGTATTCTGTTATGAGTAACCTGTTGAGTGTCACTGCATAATTATACACACTTCTTGATAATACAAACACACAGGCACCACCACACAATCCCCGCAATCAGACAGACTAGATCCTCTCAAGCATAAAGATCGAACTGTTATGGCGGTTAGCAATTACAAACGCAAGCAGGCAGGAGAACCTGACCCCTGTCACGTAGTCTTGTCCCTGCACAGCACAAATGCTTGTTCCCCGTGCCGGGGACAAGCATTGCCTGCGTTGCCAACACTACGACTGCACATACAGCGAATTCCAGCCCAAACAAAATTATTTCTTCGAAGAACGCAAATAATGCCGTCGACAGAGAGACTTTGAAAGAGTCCCAGAATCTCACATGATTTTATTCCGCCCAGCTTCATACTATAATATCTAAATCGATATGTTCAACCAACTAAAAATTCTAATTATAATTTGTATTTCCATATGCGACAACTTCACATTTTAAACATATATGTCTGATGTTCAAGTTTGAAAAATGGAAATATATCCTGAACTTCACTGGAAAAAATCTGTACCACAGAGGATAGCCATTCCATTGTTACTCCAAAGATATTTGAGACAACTTTATTGGATTATAAAGTGGTGATTTCAGTGAATGTAGAGTAGAGTAGAGTTTATTTACATTCCATAGATCCTTCTTAGGACTCAACCAAAGGATGTAGAACATGTCATTTCATACAATATACATACACTTCAGAACTTTCAACACAAGTACATGAACGTATTTCACATATCAATGTACATAAATTTCAGCTTCTGCAATACAAGTATGAAAAATAATTTTACAAATTAATATACATAAACCTCAGAATTTTAAATATAAATACAAAACTTGCTTTACATATACGTAGATTATGGATATAAAGCTTAAACATTTTCAGCAGAGATGAAATCATCTACAGAATAGAAGGAGTGAGTAAAGAGGTAATCTTTCAATGCAGGCTTGAATACCTTTATATCATAATTTAGACTTTTAATTGTTGGTGGAAGATTATTAAATAACTTGATACCTGTACAGTACACTCCTTTATGATATTTAGTAAAGTTAGCATTTGTAGTTAATGATAAGACAGATAACAAAAGAGCATTGGTGAGTTCGGTTATGAACGTTGTTAGTTAGTTAGTTATCATATAATTTTCCTGAAGGGACATAAGAAAACCACGAAAACCTTAGACATTCTAGGACTGTGGACCAAGATTTGAACCCGGGAGATCCCATACAATATGCAGGACATTTCTTTTATATATATTTTAGAAAATTTACTAATTTGTTCTTAATTAAACGTGATCAGAAATTCAGTAAGGCAAAGGGTTCATATGAAGCCCACACACGGCATACAGCATGGTATTAAGAATAAGAACACACACATTTTCATATCGCATTTTCGTTGTTTGAATTTCTCATACAGCTGTGAAGCGGATGCAGTATGACGTGATACTTTGCTTCCGGCTGTGAAAGTGAATCACGTTATTCTTTAACCCTTTGTTGACTGACGGTACTTTAAAGTTCCATGTTGTATTTTGTGGCTTTGAAACTATATAGTACATCCTATCCTTGCAATTTCCTAATGGTACTCTCAAGTACGACATACTTGGAGAAAAGATATTTCATATTTGCAGTTGGTAATGTTCCACAGCCTGTTGTATCCTATTCCATGGAGTGTTTTCATACAATTGTCTAGGAAGATATACTGCATTTACAAAACCTATTTCTTCGTTCCTGGTAAACTGTTTGATATGCAAGCTATCTGAATAGACGTAAGTATGTTTATATAAATATATAAAATATACATAATTATAACATTTATGATTGATTTGAAGCAACTGACCGTGAAAAGTATGTACTTAGAAGTACCAGCAGGCGGGATGGAGGGTCACATGTTAATAATACACATAACCTCAAATAATGTGCTACTGATCCATAATTCTCTCATATTATGAAATAATGTTCAATAATGCATGAAGATTTATCAAAATATTAAGATATATTGTAACCAAAACTGAAATTTCTGTTTCTTTACAGGTTTTCATTATGTCTGACCAAAACAAAGAACAATTGCCTCCCATATTTAGGTCTACAAACATGTTGACTGATGATGATATTTTTAGATATTATTAGAAGACTTACCAGAAGATGACAAGGAAAATACTGATATAGAAGAGGAAGAAGAAGATGCAGCTAATAGTTCAGCATTTGACAGAATTTTTGATCAAATAGATGCAGCAGCGTGTGAAGCAGCAGAGGAAGATGCTGAAAATTCCACTGAAAATGTTGATGTAGAACCATTACCAACCACCTCAGCAGCCTCCCCTATTCTTGATATTGATAGGAAAAGAAATTTGGAGACAAAAATTCCACATTACAGCGTGAATGAAGGTTTTGTACATTATTGATAATCTGTATGGGACACAGAAGGGTCAAACTCTGAATCTTAAAAAACATGAGCTGTTAGCATGTCTGGTCATAAACTTCCTTCTTGGAGGCACTATTGGTCAACAAGTGAAGATTTGGGAATCCCATTGATAAGAAAACCAATGAGCCGTGATAGATTTGACAGCATACTAATGCATTTACATGTCAATGATAATTCACAAATGACTGGAAAAAAACAGACAAGCTTTACAAAATTAGGCCATTGGTAACTGCATTGAATGACAATTTTCCAAACATTTACAAAGGGACAAGGGAACTTGGCATTGATGAATCAATGATTTTATTCAAGGGGAGGAGTAGCATCAAACAATATAACCCCATGAAATCTATAAAGAGGGGTTATAAACTGTGGTGCATTGCAGACCAAAGGGGGTACATTCTAAAATTTGATATATATCAGGGGAAAAATGAGGCTCTGGAACAAGAATTCAGGCTACGAAACCGTGGCAATCATTTTGTGATTTTTGTAAAAAAACGTGGTCGATGTGAAGTGTGCTCCAAGAAGAAGATACAATCAAGACCACATTCAAAGTGCACTACATGCAGTGTATTTCTTTGCTGCCATGAGAAGAAAAACTGTTTTGAAGAGTATCATGCTGTATCTGTTGAGTAATATGTGACAGGCAATGTGTTTGTAAAAATTGGCAAAATGTGATTTTTATATTTGTGTATATTGTATGTCTAACATGGGTACTTGATTTAATTCTGTTGTTATATGTAGTACTGTTTTTATAAAAGATTTTCTGTATTATAATTTTGTAGTGTTGTTAACACGGCAAAAAATGTGTTAGAATGATCAAATATGTACTTTTGCATGTGATTGAATTAGGACCCTACAACTTCCCTGATGGTACTTGTAAGTACCAGGCATTAAAACTACACAAAAAATTGAAATAAAAATCTGAAAAAATTGACATGTTCTCGGAGGACATATTTATTAAGATGAAAAAATGACTTTGGTTCATATATTTTCAATAGTCAGGCAACAAAGGGTTAAGTTAATAAGACGCCAGCTCTTCATACCAATTAATAGGTAAATAATCATTAGTTTTTGTGTTTTTGTTATTTTTATGTAAATGTTTAATGCGTAGAAGTTGTCGGGTTGTGAAGAATACGAATGATTTTGTTTGAAGCATAAGAAAGCGTTGACTGTTTCAAGCAGATTTTTGATTAAAGTTCAGGTTAAATGAAGTAAACAGAATAATCTTTATCATAAACAAATCGTATTAAAGGCGTAAGAGTAAGTAACGTTAATTTCCTTCATTATGTAATGATATAGTCCTTTGAGGTTAAAGATGTCCAGTCCCCTTTTAAATGTAGTTATATTATGTGACAAAGGTGTAGTAATAAAACTCTTGTCTGTTTACATTCATTGTAGCACATACTGCAAAATTCCATTACTTTGAAGTCTCTTATTGGGTGTTATGTTTTAAAGATTGACAATTTCTTATTAGATTTGTCATATTGTGTTATCCCATGAAGGAAATATCAGGAAGGTCAGATCCAAATTAACATGAAGACAAGGATTTTCTGAAGCTTATTTCCATCATACCTCTAATGGTTCGTGTGTGATTTGAGATTCTCACAATGGTTAAAATGTGGATTTTGGTCATCTTGACTGTGATGCCATGTAGTCTTGTAAGTGGTTACAGATGTTTCAGCATTGCTTGCTGAAGATTAGATGATACATTTCTTTGGTGTGGTGGTTTTATTTACATTGCAGGGCAGTTTGTAGAGTATAGCCTAAAATGTTCTTATGCTGAGAGTAACCAGAAAAATTCTAAATTGTCACAACCATGTAGAGGTTATATAGTTGATATTTATAAAATGTAAATCCTTATTTTATGACATGTCTGATGAATCAATGTCAAGGATACACATTTGGCTTGAAATGTTAATTATTTAATATCACATTGCGACCCATCAAAGTTGACAGGGATGAACATCTACTATGTTGAACAGTAATATTTATTGCAGCATTATAATTACAGATTTCATTGAAAGTGCAAAATTTATAAAATTGAATGTGAAAACATCTTCTCAGCCAGATTCCTGCGTCAACACAAAAATTAGTGCCTTTTTCTGGATTCTGCCATAACCCACCATACCTTCCTTTGCACTTTGGCTCCTGGACACACAACAGCACCTCTTGTAGCTCATTTATCTGACTGCACATGGCTTGGCGTTAAGTGGCGATGAGACAGACTGCCCTGCCAGCTTGGATATGGCTAGTGTCCAGATGGTTCCCAGTGTTTGTTAAGCTGCTGTTTGAGCACACTGTATTCAGGTTCAAGATCCACCTGGCAGTATGACTACAATACATTTCTAGAAACAGACCCAGGACTTCATTTTTCAAAAAATTGTTTATAACAATGTTCCCCATGTGTGACTTATAATGATTTTATTGATGTTGATAATACCAAGTTGAATTTCATTTTCTTATAATGCAGAACTTTCGTTATGTGCACAGTTTGGCTCTTTGCAGACCGGAAATCAAGTAGTAGCAGCTTTGATCAGTTCACAAAAAAGGCGAGTGATATGGGCTCTTTGACGCGGCGTGGTTCATTGGAGCATCCCAGCAACTCGGAGAAGAGACGAGCTGGTCTCCTGAAAATTTTGGATTAAGTTTGAATACATTCTGCCCAGTCACTCTGACAGTTTCCAGCTTCTTCAAGCAGGTTGTTTGTTGAAATAAGGACTGCAAAAAAATGTTAATTTAAGAATTGAAAGTGAAACAGGTGAAGATAACTGAAAATGTTGAATAAATAATTAAATTCCAGCATAAACAATGCTCTGTGGCTTATCCTTCTAGTTCTTGTCCTTTGGTTTTCACCACTTTTTATGAATGAGCCACATTGATTGTTGAAGTTTCCCCAGCATTTTGGCAAAAACTGCAGTTGCCACCTTCAGGGTGGTACTATCAAGTGGGAAGCAACCAATGGTTCAGGAAGAGAGGTGGTAAAAAGGTTTTGGTGACCACGTGGTCAGAATAATAGTGCTAAAATGTGGCAAGTGACTGTGTGATAGTCAAAACTTTTTCACCATTTCATTTCCTAACCAGCCTCCCTTATGTTTTTCTTTCATTATGTATAAAATTTATGAATTATATCTTACTTACAGGAAAGTGATCGCTTACGAGACGAAGACCTCTTTAAATCCTTAACAAGAGCTGAAATGTCTGTGTTCTGTTATGAAACTTATAACTTTATGTAAAGTAATGTGATAGTTTTTTTATGATCTGTTTTGGACAAATAGTTTCCATATATGTGCTCAATTTGTTCTTTTTCTATGCAGAAGACATGTAGTAATTAGTCTTTGCAAAAGCCAGGAGAGTACTTTCTCACTAACTATTTTTGTATAGTCATCCTCATATATCATTTTATTCAGTAGAGACAATTTTATTAAATAACTAAGAAGAGAAAAAAGCACAATAATTATAAAACAATCTTTGTGTTATGTGAATGAAGTGAATTAAATGCTAGCATGGGGAAGACATGTCCTTGTGTATACATGTTTCATTACTTGACAAATTTA